GATGAATAGGGTCATAATGGGGCCATGAAGGCACATGGCTCATTGGGAAGCAAGTGGCTTCTATGAATAGCCGCCATGCAACATATGCAGGAGGCATTTAACTTGATGAATGAGATATGAATATGGGAATGATGCATCCGTAAGAGGGTGATAATAAGTCAATTAATATAGGAGACTAGAGACATGACATCAGTAAACTGAATATTTATATTCTTCTGTTTTGGTCAGTTACAGCTTCAGAAGGCTCCTCCTGGCTATGTTGCTGACTGTTCCTAGATAACAAGCTCTGCCCTGAAACTTCTTCCATCCCTGACGGATCTTGGCTCTGCAAAAGACAAAATCCTTAACGATAAAACACATGCATATTAGTTCAAGTAACAGGTTCAATTGCTTCAATAGTTTGCTGCAAAAGTCAATTAAGACCTCCTCGTCGGTGTCTTCAACGCCAATGTCTATGACAGCTGCATTTGGAGGACCAACTTCAACTTGATGACAGACGTTTGGACTGCTGGAACCAAACTGTACTCCGGATTCTGAGCTGCGGCGAAGAACAAAGATGACCAAGCAGAAAACAAATGCAATGGGTTAAGCTAAGATCCCAAACATTTGTTCACTTACAAAGCATGCTTCTTCCAACAATATCTGTCTATCACCTAATTTCAAAAGAAGAAAGAAGGTCCAGTTACTAGAATTTTACATAACAAGAAAGCTCAGCTTTTATAATGCAGACACTAAGCTACCAGAGCTCTGACAGAGAAAGATTCTGGTCATTCAATGACCTCAGAGAGCAATTGGTGAGTAGCAGCAAGAAGACAAACCTTGTCATCTCTCCCTTCCAATAATATACTCAAGTTTCCTTCTTCTTTTTCTAATACACAACATACTCAAGTTATACAGTTTAGCATACTTGTTCACAGTTCCAAATAGTGGTGTGCTAAACTAGAGTGGTAGACAATGTCATATGTATTATGCTGAAATAGAGTAGTATTTTAAGCAATTAAATGACCAGAAATGACTTCAACTCAAGGTTCTGAGTTTTATCTTTTCTGCTAAAGCATAAGTATCCTCCTATTAGAGGTAATCCTATTCGAGGCACTGTCGGGCACTAAATGTAGGCACATCTTCCAACAGGGATTTGAACTTTGGTTCACTATGTTGTGGGGAACTAACTCCTTCCGCTAGACCCAACCCCTGTTGGTGTTTCGAGTTTTATGTTGGCTGTCAAGACAACCCTTCTCCTTTATTTGGGCTTGAGAGCGGCTATAGGCATAGGAATAAAAAAGATATCATTGGCGACAAATTATTCTGCATGTATAAAATCATTAGTGACATGCTGATAGAATTCAGAGCCATACCTAAAATTGCCGTTTCGAGGGAAGAAAAATTTCTGGTAGAACGCAAAAAGATCTGTCATAAATTAGGCTGACCACGCTAAGATAAAGAAAGCCTTTTTGAGACCAGATTCTCATGCCCATAACAATTCCTCTATCACAACACTGGAATCACACCAGAAGAACGAATGGAATCAGATGAGGGTATCCATCTCAGGTCCCTCACTGCTAAAAAAGAGCCTGAGTCATTCTCGAGAGGGGTCAAGGTAAGGTCGATGACAACGCCGTTGAGGGTGGCTCTGTGTCTTCTCATGTGGTCAAACAGTGCTTGGCCCTATGTCCAACAAGAGCCTGAAACGTTTGCATGTCTTTTGATGAATGAAATATTATTTGATGCCTTTTGAAATAACTACATTGCCCTCTTTTCTTGTTCTATCTCTCTTCCCCTCCGTTTCTGTTCCTCGCTTCTCTCTCCCTCCTCTCTGGTTCTATATCTCTTTCCTATAATCCTCTTGCCGCAGTGACAGTGTGTGCTGCATGAGAGACTAGAGAAGCATATCAATAGAATGAATATTCATATTGGATATCGTCACTAACAGCCGGAAAAAACAAGCGGGTTTCATCATATTCATTATTTTGCTGATTGTCCCACTCTACCATGCTTCCATCCGAAGCTTCTCCGTTACTTGGGCAATGATGCATCTGTACGCAAGCGATGATAAGTGTCGAGTCATTTAACAGGAGACTAGAGAATTATATCCAAATACCGAATATTTATATGCCGTTGTGGTCACTTACAGCTTGAGAAGGCTCCTCTTGATTATTTTGTTGACTGCTCGTGGATGACAGGCTTTGGCCTGAAACTTCTCCCATCCCTTGGGACTCTTGGCTCTGCAAAAAAACAAAATCCACAAGCATAAAATACATGTTAGTTCAAGTAACAGGTTCAATTGCTTGAATATATTGCTGCAAAACTCAATTTAAGACCGCCTTATTGAAGTTTACATCCCCAACAACTTCACTGTTATGAGAGCCATTTCGACTGATGGAACTAACCTGTCCTCCGGATTCTGAGTTGCGGCGGAGGATAAAGATGAACAAGCAGAAAAGATATGCAATCGGCAAGAAGATCCAGCTGATTTGAGAAGTTCTTCCACAAAAAGGGACAGGAAAAAAGTTGAGAACCCTGTTTCGAATCCAGGCTCAGACTTCCTTGACATGGACAGCGACATCAAGGTGAATGGACCATACGAGATGATAATCTTTTCGGGCAAGTGCATTGGTACTCTTTGGTCAATAGAGCATTACGGTTTCGCCCCAAACATACAAGCAAAGAGAAAATCAATTTTTGAGCCCGCTTGTGACATCTTAGAAAAACTAATTATCAAGTTAGGCCGCATTGTAATGTTATAACTGAGGGCCTTCCCTGTTTTTGCTAACTCCAACTGGACATAGTAGACTGCTCAACCCTGTCGAAGTTTAGAGCTACCCTTGTAAAATCTTCGACACATAAAGGCTGAAGAAGATATCGGGGCTGATAAATCCAACATGCAACCGATAGGAAGTATATGATTGGTATTAATTTATAACATCTTAAATTAGTAGTTTAAAGTATTTTTTGTTGTATCTATCACCCTAAAATATTTTTCTAAGTACATTTAGCATCATAAAATATTTTGTGATGTCATTTTGCTCTCAAACTATTAATTAAAAAATTTACGAAAAGAATAAGAATATTTACAAATTAAGTTTATAGTTTAAGAACAAAATGATCTTACTCAATCTGTAAACATTCTTTAGGTCCAAAAAAAAAATATGTAAACATTCTTATTCTTTATGTAAATTCTTTCATCTTGATTATAAATTTTCATATTTTACTTGTGAATTCACTTTTCTTGTCTCTATCCATATCATTATTAGTGTCTCTCGTTCCAGGAATTAATTTCAGTTTATACTCAAAAGGACACAATGAAATTTCAAAGTTACATGGGGGCAACTGGAAATAAAATCTCTATAGAGGGGGGTTAATAGAAATTCTCCCTTTTTCATACACATTAAATAAGGATAAACTTAACAAGGTTTATTAATTTAAGACATATTTCCTTACTTAATTGTTATTTTTTGGTTTGTGAGGATTAATTGAAAGTCGTTTATAAATAATAAGTACTAGAGTGGTTAGAATAAAGGTGCACTCTTGCCAAGAGCTAATTTGCATTAAGAAAATTAAATGTATTTGTTTCCTAATATATCCTTTTAATTATTTGTATTGAAAACTATGATTAATGAAAACCCTCTTAATAAGTATGCTTATGCCAACAAAAGCAGAAATTTTTTTGAAAATAAATTATAAATCTAATGAAACAAAGTGAATTTAAATCTTAAATATAGCACCTAAATAAATCCCTCCACTAATTCATATGTTTAGGGGCGGATGAATAATTTGTATAATAATCTTGCGTTGGCTAAAAAAAAAGTATAATAATCGTACTATTTTATTTATTAATCAGTGATATGTTTACCATGTCAAAGAAGTTTCTACATGAACCCGGGGGGTGTGGTTGAGCGGTGGGGGCTCATCCTCCCTTAACCAAGTGTCGAGAGTTCGATCCTTGCCTTGGGCATGGAAAAGCTTTAAAACCCCGGGCCAGCTGTCCCACCCATCGAGGTGCCTACAAGCCAGCGAAGGGATTAGTCACTGGGTCCGCCAGTGGATACCCTGATGTTTCATCAAAAAAAAAAAGAAGTTTCTACATGTTCAAAATGAGTTCTGGTTTTTCTACTTGCGTAAAATAATTATTAAATTCTTTTTGATTCATGTCAGATATCACATAATTACTATATTATAACATCTTAATTTTTTTGACAGTGGAGAGGTCTAAATTGTGCTCATCAAGAAAGCTAATGACTTCTCTGAAGTTTTCTTCTGTAGGAAGGTAGTATGTACTATAAAGCCAAATAACCTGAAACGTTTTAATGCAACAACACTTATAAGTGAATCTGCTCCAGGGAAAGTACCAGAAAGTTAAAAGTAATAGAATGAAAGTAATCATGCTGTGCGATGTATTACGCTATTAGTACCTTAAGGACACCCTGATGAGCCACTAATCTTCCCGCTGCTGTGGTTGCAGCTCCAGCCAGGAAGCTAGAGTGATGAAACAAACCCTTCTGCTTTCATCCCACATACAAACACCTTGTGGGGCTCAGAACAAACATCCATCTGGATCCATCTTCAGTATCCAAAAACTTCCCATTCTGTTTATACACCAGCTTGCCTCCTTCAACAATAACTTCATATTCTTCCCTTTCTTTCTGCAATGGTGCCACCATCAGTCAGCTATATGGGATATAGCAGTAGCAGGTTTTAGATAGACTCAGGCCAAATAAAAAGTGAATCTTCATAGCTGGGTCTATTGGATATGAATCAATATCTAATTAAAACGCATGTTTAAAATAAATATATCTTTATTTACACAAGCGAGAACTTACTGGTCCAAGATATTTAATGCATTGGCATTGAATTTTGTTCCTTCGACATCTCTCAAAATTTTGCTTCTTTGCCTTCTCCTACGTCCAACCTAAATGTAATAAAAGCAAGAAATTACCCATCCAGATCCTTATTAGTTCCTCATCTACCATGTTTCATGGTAATCACAATGAAGAGATTAAATTTCAGAAGGAGTGTCTACCAGTAGAAAAATGGTTCGCTGCTTTGGCTTCTAAGCCAGACATCATAATAGAGGCGTAGATTGTGACCATATCGATGACGTGGGTCAATCTGTGCAAAGCAAAAAGAAAGTAACGTTGTCAATACTTAATATGGATCAAACCTGTTGTTCAAAAGCCTCAAGATCATAAAGAGTACTCTTCTTAACTACTACCTCCTGATCTTAGGGTCTATTTGGTATGAGGGAAAATGAGAGGAGGGGAAGGGAGGGAAAATTTTCCTTCCCCTCCCCTCCCTTTCCCTCACACCAAACAGTAACTTAATATAAGAGCTAGTTGACTTAATTTAAGTAAATAGGTGTTATCTTTCCTAACATACCCTTTTTAATCAAATGTATTGACTAGAACTACTATTATCACTGGGACTACTTTGGAAAAAATAAATAAATATGAGAAACAAAGTGGATTGAGATCTTATAATTAGAACTAAAATAAAAGTCTAATAAGCTTTTATATTAAGAATCGGAAGTAGTAACATATTGGAATAATGGGTAAGAATAGAGAAGGCTTTAAGGTCTTACAACTTCAAGCCAATGTCGCAAGGCTAGTTTTCATGCCTTCTCATTCTTGGACAAACCTTTTCCTACCTGAGTAAAAATTCAGTTAGAAGCTAGGAAAAAAAATTAATAAAGAAATTATTAGTTAAACTCCACAGCAATCCAAATTCTTTGTAATTATAAAGTAATTGGTGTGTATCCAGAGAGGTAAAGAAGAAAAGTAAGCCTCATGCACATTCACACTTTCGTATTATTCTTTTTCTCAAATGAATGATTATATAAAGAGTCATATAAGTATGATAAAAGTAATTTATAGAAAATTGAATTCATTAGATTTAGAAGATTGAATACCTTAGCTGCCGTTGTCCCTGCCCTTGCCCACATAGTAGGCTTTGCCCTGAATCTTCATCCATCCCTGGGGAATCTTGCCACTGCAAAAAAGAAAATACACAAGGATGTAACACATGTTAGTTCAAGTAACAGGTTCAGTTGCTTGAATATTACTTGGACTGATGGGACCAACGTCCTCTACCACGGATTCTGAGTAGTGGCGAAGACTAATGATAAGCGAGCAGAAAACTAATGCTAAAGGTAGTCGGATCCACTTGATTTTGAAAAGTTGTGTGGCAAACAATGACAGGAAAAAACTGGAGAAGCCAGTTTCGAATCCGAGCTCAAACTTCCTTGACATGGACAGTGACATCAAGGCAAATGAACCATACGAGATAATGCTTAATGCATCTGATTTTGGCACAAGTTTGTCATTCACCACGGAGATCAAACAGATCACATCAAACATTAGAGCTGCCACAGGGCCTTGGAATTTCTCTGAAACTCGAATTCTCTTGCCCCACAAGATGAGGCACCCTATCATTAAACCGAGGAATAGATAAAGAAGGAGATCGCCAATACCAAACTTTCCGAATGAGATTTTGTAGGGGGAGCTGAGACCAAAGCAAACCAGGCCCGCTATGGCTAACACACTTCCCACAAATTTCTAAATCCTGGTCCGATGGCATACAAGATCTCTCATTCTGTTCATAATTTATTTAACCAAAAAACATGAGACCCTCATTATTTGATTTCGTAATTTTGATTTATAAATTTGATGAAATTTCATTTATAGAAATAAACCAATACTAAAACTGTGTTAAATAAGATGATAAGAAATTTCATAAAGTGAATGAAATTCTATAAATTTAAAATAATAATATTAAAATGGTTTTTAACTCAAGGATTGATGCCTATAATAAGTCAAAGGATTGAATTCAAACAAAATAAATTAAAAGTGTTTAAGCTCAGATAAGGCACCACAAGAGCTTAACAGAAACTCAAAAAATGGGGAAGAGATCAAAAGTGTTTAATTCCTCAGGAATTTCGAAAGCAGAGTATAGCAGAGATTATACTAAGATTTTTGTTACAGACCAAACAAAAAAATCATCAAAGCTATCTACTACTAACCTTAATCAAACGCTCCCCACCACGCCACACTGCCTGTTCCCAGAGAATCGTCTCGCGACAAGAGGAGCGTAACTCGGAATAAGGGCCTAGGAATTGACGCGGAGAGAAACCAAGTAGGGAATGGTAAAGGTATCGACTTGTTGACTCTGGTGGCAGAAGCCCAAAAGTACAACCTTGACTTGGTCTTTGGCTCTTTGCTTGGTCGATAAAATTTGCAAAATCACTATTATATTTATTATTCTGAGATAACATAAGTATACTTAATACTTGCATCTAGTTAAAAACAACTTAGGCCGCAACTAGTGTTACAATTGAGGTTCTTCACTGTTTTTGCTCACTCCAACCGGACATAGTTAACTGGTCAACCTTGTAGAAGTCTAAAACTCTTCAAGACCATGAAGGCTGTTGTAGAAGATTTCAGGACTGACAACTCCAACATGCAATGGATAGAGAATATACAAGGGAAAATTGAAAATAAATTATTCATTAGAAATTTAATTGACAAACAGTCTCTGGGAGGATAGATTACACAAAGAAAGATAAGTTACACATAAGAGAAATGGAGTTACACAAAGGAAAAATAATTTGCACGAAATAATTATTTAGATATAAAGGACTAGTTTACATATAGAAAAGATGACTTGCATACCAAAAAAAGTTGAGTTGCACAAAAAGAAGTTGAGTTGCATAAGAAATAATAATTGCACACAAAAGAAGATAGATTACACATAAGAAAAATTAAGTTGCATATGATAAAAGTTGAGTTATACAAAGTTCATAAGGACCATTTGTCAATTATTTTCTCAATGAGAGATTTATTCCCAATTTTTGAAATATACAGTTGGCATTAATTTATATCACAAGCACAAAATAGAAGCACAATCATATAGATTATTGATTACTTTATCACAAATATGAGGATGTTTATTGGCTTATTGCAATATGTATTTACACACATTCTAAAATCTAAACATTTAGAAACTCAATCGGGAACCCCCTAAATTCATAATACAAAAAGAATATCCAATCTACCACGTACTTACGTACTTCTCTTGTCCCTCTCTGCTATGAGTTAACTTCAAGCTTTCGAGTCTTCTTATTCTCCTCCTTCTCCTTCTTTAAGGCAATCCTCCCATCTGTTCCAGCTATAGCATGGCATACTTGTCTTTCCTCGTCACATTCGTCCACTCAAACCGAAGCGTCCCCACAAGAACCGTCAGAATGTAATTCGCAACTTCAAAACTGGACTTCCCTCCCTTACACGTGAGCTCAACTGGAAGCTGGTCCAGAAAAGTGATCTCAAATGTGGGAATATTGTTCATGAACACAAAGGGTCCAAAATCTGATGCCCACGAACTGTGATCCCATTAAACACAGTCTGCTTCGTGTTCATAGCCACAGGAACAATCCTCTCGGTTAATTCAGCAAAAAAAGCACTGAACCTTAACAGAAATGGTTCTCTGCAAGTGGTTCCTTCAAGAAAAATCACCACGTCACCTTCCTGAACCAGTTTTTTAATATTCTTTGCATCTTTCTCTCTTTCTCTTGACAAAGCAACGGTTTTTACTGGTGATGTTATTTTACTGAACTTGCTGATGCTTTAGGCGACACAGCTAACTTTTCTCTTCAGAGCAACTGTAATAACCACAGGATCCACGACCGTACCGTACGGTGGTTGCAGACAAAAAGGACACCGCTTTGGCCTGTCTTTGGGGGAGGGGGTGGGGTGCCCTTGGCAAGGATTCTGACTCCCAGAAGCTTGGAGTTTTACCAAACGAGTCTTTCTGGTAGTGGGATGTTAAGATATACCCTTTAGATGGAGAGTATGGTGCCAATAGTGAGCCATAGGAAGGTCACAAATGCCATAAGAGGGGTTGGCCTCTGAGCAAAACGACCGTCCTGGAAGATAATGGGACTTAAAAGCTTGTCTCTGGGTAGTGGGAGATGGGAAAAGGGTAATAAGTGAGTATTGTGCATGAATAGTATGGGAGATCCGTGAGTATAAGAGTAGGAGTGCAGGCTTGGCAAATCGAATCAGTTTGGTCTAGATGAGTCCGAATGGTGCGTGAGTGGCTGAGATTCCAGTCGTTGCAAGAAATCTGACCACCGTCCGCTATCCAAATGGATCTATCGACCTCGGCGGCTGTGAAAGTGGGAGACAAGCCTTCAGGGTCGAATTGCTGCAGTGATAGAGGCGTCGATCCCATCCAACAGTGGCAGCGCCATGGCCGACCTGAGTTGGGCGTCGATGCCGTAGTAAAGGGCTTCATCGGCAAGTTCTTGCTTGGAGAAACGACGAACGGCAGAGGGGACCTGATTGGTGTTAGAATATTTTTAAAATGAAAAAAAAGTGTTTTTTGAAAAGTCATGTACTTATATAAATTTATTAGATTAATAAATTTATATAAGGGGTTATGTCTTTATATAAATTAATAAATTTATTTGAAAGGTTGTGTCTTCATATAAATTAATATATTTATATGAAGGGTTATATAGGAAGTTAAAATATTAAATGAACCTACATACTAAATACATTGTATTTAACAAAAAGTCATGTAGGAAGTTAAAACATTAAATGAACCTACATACTAAATTCATTATATTTATTCAAATTATGTTGGTTCATGAACCAACATATGGTTGTGACTTTTTATTTAATAAGTTTTTATTCTAAAAGGTATCTCTTCAAGGTATCATTCCATACTCTATATAAACCCTTCACCATTACTTTATTTGGAGACAATACAACACAAACACTAAGATCAAACTCATTGCCTTTATCTTTGAGTGCACGCAGAAATAGAGTCAAATTATCACTTTGTGAAAGCCATTGTTGTCTTTGCTTGAATTTGGAAGTGCAATCCATATTCAAAGATGTTCATTGTATCCTGAAGGAAATTCGCCAGGTATCCCAACTTGCACTCTATAAGATAGGAATAGGTGGGGGTGAATTAAGCCTAAAAGAAAGTACTGCCCACGCCTTAAAGACATCGTGTACCACTTTCTTCTTCATGTCTTCTTCTTGTACTCTTCAGATAACCTTTCCTGCCAACAATTGGTGCGAAGGGGAGAGAGGAGGAGAGAGAAGATCTTGGGGTCGCGGTCAATGAAAACAGGGTGGTCATCGCCGGTGTCACGGAGGGAGAGAGCGGTGAGTAGGGAACCGGGACCACGGGAATGAAGGGTGGCAAGCGTCACCTCGAAGAGCTTCCTGCTGACATCGAGCTTGCTAGGGTCGTCCGGAGAGGGCACATAATCAGAGTCAGAAGTTGCCACTTCCATTGAGAGAGCACCCCGAAGATAGTCCAACGCTGTTGATCAGGAGGGGGGCCCAGCTGCGCCCTTGCCGCCACTTCATTTTAGTCTCTTTCCAAATGTTTTTTTGCGGTTATTTTTACTGTTAAGATTTTACATAAAATTAAAAGGAAAAAAGACAGAAAAATGCTAACTTAACTTCAGAATGACTAGAACGTCTGCTGAATTTGCAAAATGTCATTTTGGTCATATGAGACCAAATTGGCATTATCATGTCAAATGAAAAAAACCAAATTGCCCTTCTTTTTAAATATTGTTTTTAAAGTATCACAACTCCACTGGCTGGCTAGTCACCGGAGCTCCAGCAACAGCAATACCGGAGCTCCGGCGACCGGCCGACAATTGGTCACCGGAGCTCTGTCAGTCAAAAAATTTTTTTTGGAAATTTTTAAAACTTCAGTATAATAGTTAACAACTTTTGTGATGCTATTAACAACTTTAGTATAACAGTTAATAACAGGTTTTCTGGAAAATTCAACAAGCTCCGGCGGCCGGAAATAAATTTTTGAAACTTTTTCAGTATAACAGTTAACAACTTTTGTAATGCTATTAACAACTTCAGTATAGCAATTAACAACAGGTTTTTAGGAAAATTTAATAATTGGATGCCGGAGCTCTTGATGTCAGAAACAATTTTCCTGAAAATTTTTACAACTTCAGTATAACGGTTAACAACTTTTGTAACGCTATTAACAACTTCAGTATAGCAGTTAACAACAGGTTTTCTAGAAAATTCAACAAGCTTTGGTGGGCGGAAATAATTTTTTTGAAAATTTTTACAACTTCAGTATAACGGTTAACAACTTTTGTAACGTTATTAACAACTTCAGTATAGCGGTTAATAATAAATTTTTTTAGGAAATTTAAAAAATAACATTTTTACAACTTCAGTAATACCGTTAACAAACTCAAAAACTTGTTGTTAACTGTTATATCAAAGTTGTTAATAGAGATATAAAAGTTGTTAACTATTATACTGAAATTGTAAAAATTGTAAAAAAAAAAAGTAGTTGTTAAAGTTATAAAAATGCCTTTTTTTTTTTGAATTTTTAAGAAAACCTGTTGTTAAACGCTATACTAAAGTTGTTGATAGAGTTACAGAACTTGTTAACAACATTATTGAAGTTGTAAAACTACTACTTTTTGAATTTTTTGAAAAACTTATTGTTAACTGCTATACTGAAATTGTTAATAACATTACAAAAATTGTTAACCGCTATACTGAAGTTATAAAAATTTTCAAAAAAAAATTGTTTCCAACCGCCGGAGCTCTGGCAACCAGTTGTTGAATTTTTCGAAAAACCGGTTGTTAACCGCTGTATTGAAGTTGTTATAGCGTTACAAAAGTTGTTAACTGTTATATTGAAGTTGTAAAAATTTTCAAAAAAATTATTTCCGACCACCGGAGCTTGTTGAATTTCCCAAAAAACCTATTGTTAACTGCTATACTGAAGTTGTTAATAGGGTTACAAAAGTTGTTAACTGTTATACTGAAGTTGTAAAAATTTTCAAGAAAATTGTTTTTGGCTGTCGGAGCTCCAGCGTCTAATTATTGAATTTTCCCAAAAAACCTATTGTTAATCGCTATATTGAAGTTGTTAATAGCATTACAAAAGTTATTAACTGTTATACTGAAGTTGTAAAAATTTTTAAAAAATTTATTTCAAGCCGCCAGAGCTTGTTGAATTTTTCAGAAAACCTGTTGTTAACTATTATACTGAAGTTTTTAATAGCGTCACAAAAGTTGTTAACCGTTATACTGAAGTTCTAAAAATTTTCAAAAAAAAAATTTCTGACCGACGGAGCTTCGGTGACTAATTGTTGGCCGGTCGTCGGAGCTTCGGTGATTGCCGTTGCCAGAGCTCCGATAACCAGCTAACCAGTGGAGCTGTGATAGTTTAAAAACAATATTTAAAAGGAAGGACAATTTGGTCTTTTTATTTGACATGATAATGCCAATTTGGTCTCATGTGACCAAAATGGCATTTTGCAAATTTAGCAGACGTTCTGGTCATTCTGAAGTTAAGTTAGCATTTTTCTGTCTTTTTCTCAAATTAAAATGAGTGACATTCTAATATTTTATTTATAAAAAATAGTTTAATTTTTTATGATTTTGCAATAAGGTATCAAAATGTCATTCATTTTATATAAAATCTAATATCATCTTCGATTCTAATTATAAAATATCATTTGTAGTCTATAAATAAGATTTTATAATTAAAACTAGAGGTATTAGTAAAAATAACCACACAAAAATTTAGGAAGAGCCTCAAAATTAAAGGGCAGCAGGGGGTAGCACCCAAAGGGCAACTGACACCCCCTAGCTGCTGACGAGCTGGGAAAATAGAAATCTGGGAAATAATAATGGGAAAATTTCATTTTAGGATCATTGTAGCTAATTAATATAGACAACCTTCAAAACATTTCAAAATTGAGTAAAATACTATAACCTCCTTTGTATTTTATCTTAATTACACAGACCTCCCTTCTATTTTGAAAACATATACTTAAATCCAAACTGTTAACTCCACTAAGAATATTTTGAAAAAGATTTTTTTTAATTCAAACTTATATTGAAATACTTTCTATTTGCTAAATTACCCTTCATAATACTAAATACCAAAATCTTGGTTAAAAATATATCCAAGAATTTAAGATTTTCTCCTTTACCTCAATTTTATTTTTTTATTTTTGAAAATTGTTGTTTGTTTAATATTTTTATCGTATTGGGCCAAAAAATTAAGTAATTTAGTTAATACAAACATAAATTTAAATGATTTATATAAGTTTCCAAACTCGCATAATTTATATTATGTGATCAGAAAATAAGCATTCAAAATATTTTCTAGCCATTTAAAAAATCTTAAGTTTCAATATTTCATGAGGAACTAAAATTATCTAATTCTATAATATAATTGAAATTAAAATTTTATAACATATTAAAAATTTTGAAAATACATGTATTATAATTATTTTTTGTTGTATCAAAACTTTTTTTTATAGATATAAATGTTTAAATAACATCTACGTTAAAGAGGAATATTTTGGTGAAACTAGGAATTTAAAAGTTAAACTTAACAGTCAACTAACGGTTGGATGATGGAAATTAAATCTTAAAAATATAAGAGAGGTTTGTGTAACATATATTTTAATTTGAAGGGAAGTTTATATACGTTTTCAAAATAGAAGAGAAGTTTCTGTAATTTAAGTGAAATAGAGGGATAGTCAATGTATTTTACTCTTCAAAATTTCAATCAACCCTTTTAGACCAAAATGAAATTAAAATTTAAGTGTAAAAATACAATAATACTTCTTTTTTTAAATTTTCAAAAAATCAATATTAATTGTCGTCAGAGTTTCAACCACCCGAGGTCAGAGGTCTAGCCACCCAGCTACAATGACAACCATCAGAGCGCTAGTGGCCAAAGGATTTTTTTTTTAATAAGGTCGTTTGAACCCATGACCTATTAGCACACTAAAAGTAGTATGACCACCAAACCAACCAAATCACTTAATCATATAATGCAAAGAAAAATATATATAACAAAACAAATACAAATGTCCAAGTATAAACAAATAAAATTTGATAATTTACAAGTGAAATTTAGCAACTGACAACAAAAATTTGGAGATTTATAAGAAACATAAGGAAATTTACAACCCCAAATGTAAATATTTAGGTGTAAATGAATAAATAAAATTTGAAGATTTATAATAAAAATTTAGTATTTACAACTCAAATTTAGGAATTTATAAAAAACATAAGAGAATTCACAACCCAAATGTAAATGTTTAAATAGAAATGAATAAATAAAATTTAGCGATTTACAACCCATATTTGACGATTTATTAAAAAATATATATATTATAAAATTTATAAGAGAATTCACAATCTCATCTATAAGTGTTTATGTTTTTGAATTAAAATGAAATTTTCCAAATAAAAATCTCTGAATTAACTTCTCAGAATTGCAACGAAACTATGTGTTCCGCTCGTTTGTTCACCAATTATCATGCTTTCGCAGATTGACGGTGGGCGACGTTGGGCTTTCTCTGAAACATTCCAAACGATGTAACAGAGTAGGAATTTTTGGCTTCATCTCCTACAACGTTTTCCCTCATATCTGCCGTCTATTTTCAATCTCAGCTGCAAGACAATATCATATAGAAGAATTTGTGGTAGTAAATACTTCATCCAGTTCAAAATAGGAGTATGAGATAAATTTTGTTAGAGGAGCTTAGTTTTTTTTATAACATAATATTTATTTTTGTTTAAGCATTTAATAAATTTTTTCTAATTTTACTACTAACATACACTGTCTTTTCTCTTTGATTCATTTATTATATTTTTTACTTATTTTTTTTATTAATAAGGGTATATTCATGGAAAAAATATATGTCTTATATATTTATTATTTTAGACTGATTTTAACTAATTTTTTTAATAAATGTAAATGATAAAGTTTATCTTATACTTTAAATGAGAAGGAGTATAATGAAGTTATACACAGAAAGCATCCTGCTTCTGTTAATTAACCAAATAAATATTGCCGGGTATCAATACGATTAGCACCATCTGTTTTAAACCCTTTCTTTCTTTAGAATTTTAGAGTGTTCTCGTTATATAGTCCTGCAAATGAATTTATGATGTTGTCCATGGAAGGGTAAATACTGATTTATTTGGTTCATCGGCATTTGTAATTGTAAATTTGCAAGCAGCTATATGAAGAAGCTTCTCGTAACTCGAAAGCAAAGGAACGTTGATCAGCCCACACTGCTTGCGAAATTTCAAAGTTGGAGTGAGTTTCTGGTTCTTTGTTTGAAGATGAAGACGAGGGTCTGAGCTATGGGCAGAGTGCGTCCAGTGGGAAGCATTCATGTTGAAGATTCACTATTTTATTCCGGTGAAGATTTAATTCAGAGGATTCACGCCACTATTTCACTTTGAATGTGAATCTTACTTATCTCACATAAAAAGAGTGTTTGGATCACCCAAAAAATATTTTTTAAAAAATACTTTTACATAAGTTGAGACAAAATTATTTTCACTTACTTACTTAGTACCCAGTAAAATTATTTTTAAAACTATGATTTAGTTTTCACCCAAATACTCCAAAAATTCTGTACAGTGTATAAGTTGTTTTCGTCAAAAGCTTAGTTATGATATCGAAAATAATCAAGAATGAATGAACTCTTTGCTTGGGTTTGTACCATTGGATGCTCATGTTTGGGTACAAAGAATGAACTATCTTTACTTAAGTTTTGTTTAGTATTTGTATTTAAATGAAGTAAAAATACAAAATGATTATATCGTATTTTATTCATACATTTTAAAGATATTGAAACTTGAAGCATAAATTGTTCTAATTAAATCAAAAAAATATCAGAATCTTACATAGGTTAAAAAATCACATTGAATGGGAAAAAAAAGAGGATTAAAACCTAATGATCATTACAAAAGTTGAATGGGAGAATTTTTTTGTTCTAAAATAACTTGATGAGAAATAATTATTTAAGATTATTTGCCCTTCGCCGCACCATTTTTGGAGAAGATCTTATCTTAAAATTGTGACATATAAACAAAATTATTGCAAGAACTCAGTAGATTATAAGCCGTTGATATTTGGGCTGCACGCGTTAGTCAGAAAATCATTTACCAAAACTTAATCATCAAATAATTATTGGAAAATCTAAAAATGGGTATTGCCATTCTATGGCTCGGAGTAGTTATTTTTTCCCCCCTGGCAGCAACAAATATTATGAATATTATTAACATTAATAATAATAGGAGTAACATGTAAACAATGCATGTGTAGCTGGAAAGTAGCCGGGAGAGAGAAGCACATGAGGTGAATCACACGACTCAATGTTTGCATGCGACTCAGATAAAAGCATGGTGTTTGGATTACATGCAAGCTCTTAAGAAGTGTCAAGTGTCAACATCAAAGTGGGTCCGAGGATCTGTTAGAATACTTCATTGTAGCAACAAAAGGCGGCAAGAACCCGACATTATTTAAAAAAAAAAAAGGGAAATTAAAAGAGCGGGGGGCCACCTGGCGCCGCAACTGCCTAAGCGTATGTTCAACGCGGCTTGATATGTTTGGAATTGCAGGTGGCATCCACCTCCTCCCTCTCCGCCTGCACAACAAACAATACCATACTTATTCCAGTCACTTTATTTTTCTTTTACTCAATTGCTCCTACTAATAACAAGAAGTCATAAATATAATGTATAAATTCTTGTAAAACATATCCTCAGTTTGATGAAATCACAGTAGAGAACAAAAGAGATAGCTCTAAAAAACTCTTCTTTTTATATTATTAATAAATAATAATATCATCAAATTCACTTCCCCTATTTTTCTTGTTTCAATCCCAAACAATCTTGTGGTAGCAAATAGCTATAGGGTCTGTCTTGAGTACTGCATCTGTCTGATTAAGTAACAGCTAGGTTGTAGTGTTAAGGTTTCCTTCAGCTTTGTTTGATGATCCGTACAAATTCTATTACGATCAATTATAATTGCCATGACACTAATATTGAGCACAAACGGTGTATGATATGGGGGTTCAAGAGGAGTACCTTAGTTCAGGCGTGCCCTCGATTTGGATTATGACGTGGCTGTTTCCTGATGGAACATGATCTTGGTCCCCGGATACCTGCGAAAAACGGAAACCATTAAAACACGACTGAATCATGTATGTAATAACACAAATAAACACCAACATTGGATCTGATCACCTACAGCTGTCAAAGACGAAGGATCTTCCTCTGCTTCGTTATTATGCTCATCGCCCCTATCTGATGTGCTTTCCCTTGAAATTTCTTCCATCCCCGAGGAACGTAACGATGGGTCTGTATGAAAGTAACAAAACAGGTTCAGTCATTTAATAAGAGATAGATGCCATGCAACACAATGCCACTGAAGATTCAAACAGAGCAGAATCCGGGGAGGGTTACAGAAGCAGAGGGAAAGAAAGGGAATGCAAAAGAGAGATGGGGTGAAAGAGGAGAGAAAACGAAGGAGGGCAAGGAGATGAGTTCAATCGTAACAAAGGACATTAATCCATCATCCCACAAATGGCCGCCATTCACATAATGGTGCCATGTATCGGGCACATGGGCCATTGGCAAGCAAGTGGCTTCTATAAATATCCACCATGCAACTTATGCAGCAGACATTTGATGAATATAATGAAATATGATTTGATGCCTTGGTGGAATAACTACTTCCTCTTCCTTTCTTGTTCCTTCTTTCTTCCCCCTCCCTTTCTGTTCTTCGCATCTCTCTGCCTCCTCTCTCTTTCTACATATCTTTCCTATAATCCTCTCGCCTAAATTGACGAGCAAGGGGCCTCTAATACCTTTGAAATGTCTCAACCTCCCAAATGTCTTTTGTTCTTCTTTCTTTTTTATCATTAGATTTTAAATAAAATGAGTGACATTTTGATAGTTTAGATTTTTTTTTACAATTTTTTAAAGAAAAATACTCTAAAATTGTGCATTATTTATTTAATTTTTAAAAAAACATAAAAAATTCAAAACTGCACTATTTTTTTTTGTCCATAAAACATCAAAATTCTATTCATTTATGTAGAATCTAATGACGAAAAGATAGGAGAAAAAAACATTTGGGAAGCTGGGGCATTTCAAGGAACATTAGAGAGTGGTGCATTAGAACCCCTTGGCTCTCACTGACGGTGTGAGCCGCATGGGAGACTAGAGAAGTACTCATATCAATAAAATGAATATTTATATTGGATTTGGTCACTTACATGTGGAAGAAGCCGGCTTTCCTCATCTTCGTTATCTTGCTGATGGTCCTAAATAAGAGAACGATGCATCAGTATGAAAGCGATAATAAGTGGAGTCATTTAATAGGAGACTAGAGCATTATATCCAAATACTAAACATCTATATTCCGTTTTGGTGATCACTTACATCTTGAGGAGGCTCCTCTTGGTCATAACTTTGCTGACTGTTCGTAGATGACAGGCTTTGCTCTGAAACTTGGGAATCTTGGCTCTGCAAACAAAATCCACAAGCATAAAATAAATGCGAGTACCAGGCTCAATTGCTTAAATAGTTTGCTGCAAAACTGAATTAAATCTTACTTTATCTTATATAAAAAGGGTGTTTGGATCATCCTAAAAATATTTTTAAAAAGTTCTTTTAGGCAAGTCGAAAGAAAACTTTTTCCACGTATTTAGCAAAATCACTTTTAAAACTATAATTTAGTTTTCACCTAAATACCCCTCAAAAATTCTGTGCATTATATAAGTTGTCTTCATCAAAAGCTTAGTTATGATATCCAAAATAATCGTGAATGAATGAACTCAAAAATTCTGTGCATTATATAAGTTGTCTTCATCAAAAGCTTAGTTATGATATCCAAAATAATCATGGATGAATGAACTCTTTGCTTGGGTTTGTATCATTGGATGTTCATGTTTCGATACAAAGAATGAACTATATTTACTTTTGTTTAATATTTGTATTTAAATGAAATTGTTCTAATCAAATTAAAAAAATGTCAGAATCTTACATAAGTTAAAAAATCACATTGAATTGGAAAAAAAATGATTAAAATCTAATCATCTTTACAAAAGTTGAATGGGAGAATTTTTTGTTCTAAAATAACTTGATGAGAAATAATCATTTAAGATTAGGTAGCGCCATTTTTGGAGAAGATCTTGTCTTAAAATTGTGACATATAAACAAAATTATTACAAGAACTCAGAATATTATAAGCCATTAATATTTGTGCTGCATGCCTTAGTCAGAAAATCATTTACCAAAACTTAATCGTCAAATAATTATTGGAAAATACCGTTGTCAGTGCATAAAAATGGGTATTGCCATTCTATGGCTTGGAATATTTATTTATTTTTTCCTGGCAGCAACAGTTATTGTGAGTATTATCAACATTAATAATAATAGGTGTAATATGCAAACAATGCATGTGCAGTTGGAAAGCAGCTGGGAGAGAAAAGCGCGTGAGGTGAATCACACGACTCAACGTTTCCATGTGACCCAGATAAAAGCATAGTGTTCGGGTTACATGCCAGCTCTTAAAAAGAGTCAAGTGTCAACATCAAAGTGGGTCCCCGGATGGTCCTTTAGTGGGAGACAACTCCAAAAGTTAAACAAAAAGTATTCACTTCACATTTGCCAAGAAATAGCATTATTTAAAAAAAAAAAAAAGGAAATTAAAAGAGTGGGGAGCCACCAGGCGCTGCAATTGCCCAAGCGTGTCCCCAACGCGGCTTGTTATGTTGGGAATTCCAGGTGGCATCCACCTCCTTCTCCGCCTGCACAACAAACAATACAATGCTTATTCCGGTTACCTAATTTTTCTTTTACTCAAACTACTCCTACTGATAACAAGTCAGAAATATAATGTATAAATTCTTGTAAAACATATCCTCAGTTTAATGAAATCACAGTAGAGAACAGACGAGATAGCTCTAAAAAACTCTTCTTCTTTTCTTCTTTTATACTCCTCTGCTTCTAAATATAAGACCCTTGTATACATTAGTATAAGGACTTTATATTTAGAACCAGAAGAGTATTATTAATAATTAATAACATCATCAAATTCACTCCCCGTATTACTTTCTTTCGATCCAAAACAATCTTGTGGTAGGAAATAGATCAAATTCACTCCCCGTATTACTTTCTTTCAATCCAACAGTCTTGTGGTAGGAAATAGCTATAGGATCTGTCTTGAGTACTGCATCTATCTGAATCAGAGTTTCTGTTGAGTAACAGCTAGCTTGTGGTGATAGGGTTTCCTTTGGCTTTGTTTGATGATCCATTCAAATTCTATTATGATCAATTATAATTGCCACGACACTAATATTGAGCATAACAGTGTATGATATGGGGGTTTAAGAGGAGTACCTTAATGCTGGCCCGAGGTGCGTCCCCCTGATTTGGATTATGACGTGGTTGTTTCCTGATGGAACATGATATTGGTCCCGCGATCCCTGCGAAAAACGGAAACAATTAACACGGTACTGAAACATGTATGTGATAACCCAAATAAACCCCACTATTGGATTTGATAACCTACAGCTGCCAAAAACGAAGGATGTTCCTCTGCTTGTTCGTCATTTTGCTCAGTGCCCCTATCTGATGTGCTTTCCTGATCTGAAACTTCTCCCATCCCTGAGGAATGATGCGTCTGCATGGAAGTAACAAAACATGTTCAGTCATTTAATAGGAGACAGATGTCATGTAACACACTGCCACTGATTCAAACAGAGGAGAATCCAGGGGAGGGTTACAGAAGCAGAGGAAAACTGGAAAAGAGAGGGAATGCAGAAGAGAAACGGTGGGGGAGAGGAGAGAAAACGAAGTATATTAATCGTCCCAAAAATGGCTGTATGCTATTCACATAAAGCTCTCTAGAATTCCTTTACACAGGCCATTGCAAGGGTAGAACCCTCAGCCTCATGAGTCGTAATGGTTCCATCAAGGCACATGGGCCATTGGCAAGCAAGTGGCTTCTATAAATATACGTCCACCATGCAACTTATGCAGGAGGCTTTTGGTGAATGAAATATTATTTGATGCCTTGTTGAAATAACTACTTCCTCTTCCTTTCTTGTTACTTCGCGTCTCCCTCCCTCCTCTCTCTTTCTATATCTCTTTCCTATAATCCTCTTGCCAAAAAATCATAAAAAATTTAAAACTGCACTACTTTTTGCCCATAAGATATCAAAATGTCACTCATTTTACATAGAATTTAATGATAAGAGGAGAGGAGAGAAAATCATTTTGGAAGTTAGCATTTGGGAAGTTGGGGCGTGTTAAGGGGCATTAGAGAGAGAGGCGTTAGAACCCCTTGGCTCTCACTGACGGTGTGAGCCGCATGGGAGACTAGAGCAGTACTCATATCAATAAAATGAATATTTATATTGGATTTGGTCACTTACATGTGGAAGAAGTGGGCTTTCCTCATCTCCGTTATCTTGCTGATGGTCCTAAATAAGAGAAAGATGCATCAGTATGAAAGCGATAATAAGTGGAGTCATTTAATAGGAGACTAGAGCATTATATCCAAATACTAAACATCTATATTCCGTTTTGGCGATCACTTACATCTTGAGGAGGCTCATCTTGGTCATAACCTTGCTGACTGTTCGCAGATGACAGGCTTTGCTCTGAAACTTGGGAATCTTGGCTCTGCAAAAGACAAAATCCACAAGCATAAAATAAATGCAATTAACAGCCTCAATCGCTTGAATATTTTGCTGCAAAACTCAATTAAGACCTCCACATTGGTGTTTTCATCGTCAACAACAATTCACCGTGATAAGAGCATATGCACTGATGGAACTCACCTGAACTCCGGATTCTGAGTTGTTGTGGCGGAGGATGGGGATGACCCAGACCCAGAGGAGAACTAATAATGCTATCGGTAATAAGAAGATCCACCTGATTTTGAGAAGTTCTTCAACGAAAAATGTCAGGAAAAAAGTCGAGAACCCTGTCTCGAATCCAAGCTCAGACCTCCTTGACACGGACAACGACATCAAGGCGAATAAACCATACGAGATGATGCTCAATGCATCTGATTTTCCAGCTAAAGATTTGTCGAGTAGAACAGAGATCACACAGATCACAACAGAAGTTGTAGCTAACACACGATCTCGGTAATTCTCTGGAACCCGGATGCTCTTGACAAGGAAGACAAGGCACCACATAACTAAACCGACGAACAGATAAGCAAGGAGACCGCCACAACCCCACTTTCCAAATGACATTTTGTAGGTCGAACT